GGAAGTGGCTTCAGATTCTCAGTGCTGTGCTTTAACCCACTGCGCCACCAGGGAGGGCCGTAACACTTATTTTTTCTGCACAACTTGTTTTTGTCCCCTCCCTTACAAGAGCTTTCAATGTTTAAACTTATACAGTGACTGTAGAAATTAATGTCAGTAAGACGGACAATTACATGAGCGGCGGGTGCTTGAGAGCATGGGCGCTTGTCGAAATTTCCAGGTGACTTTCAGGGAGGTCATTTTATGAACGTTAATACATTCCTTTCTCATGCCCATGACCCTGATCGTGAATAGTCTTTGATGCTAAGTCTCCCTTCCTTCTGCAGTTGTCCCTCACATCACTGATGCTGTCCAGGACTGGGTTATGAATCAAGCCATGGTGCCGGTGGATGGTCATAAGGAAGCGCCCCAAATATGCGTTATTGAGGCAAGCATGGAACTTTTCTTTTAAAACTTATACCCTACTGGGTGTTAAAGCAGCTGATCTTCATTCATTCAGCAAAACATATAGATGGCTGGTGTGCTGGACACCAGGCTGTGAGGTGGGATTCCAGCAGGAAGCCACATTTGCTGACTCCTGCCTTTGTAGTGCTCAAAAATTATTAGCCATTAATAAGATGCCTGTGTGACTTTTGCAGATTACTTTTCAAGGCCTCTGTGTCTTCATCTAAAACAATATGGTCATAATGTAATACTGTAGTAATAAGATGACAGTAATAGGCTTGTTAGGAAGATTAAATGCAATAATATAAAGCACTTGGCATGGCCTGCATTTAGAAAGTGCTCAATAAACATGTTGACTGTTACTGCTGTCATCATTACGAACACTGGAGGGGCATGGTAAGTTATCTATAAGATACACTTTGTTAGTGTTAGCGTGGATACACTTAGCATAAGTGAGCTCGACTACCCTATATTAACTAACTATATCTTGTACTGCTACAGTAGGCTGGCTGATAAAGTTAATGTAATACTCCAGGAAGAATAACATCTGCTATGAGAGCAGGAATTGCAAGGGAGCAAAGCTTGCTTCTGCAGTGCAGGAGACTTACCTGATTGTTCTATTTACTGATTTTCATTTTTTGGACTCAATCTTCAAAATACATTAAGAAGACTTCAAAGCAGGGATGTAAATGTTATCAGCTTTCAAAATAGGTTTGGTGAGGTGCATTGGGAGGCATCTACAGATATATATTTTAAAATATTTATTTAGTTTGGTGTAGAAGAACTTGGGTATAGGCCAGAGGTGCTGGGGGCGGAGGTGGGCTGAGAGGGACAGAGTGGAAAGCAGAACAGGCAGAGTGAACGAAATACACTGCTGAGGAGAGCAATAGGCAAGAGACAGGAGAGGTCTGCTGCACCTTGTGGGTCAGCTCCTGTAGATAGCTTCATAGTGCGGGGCTTTAAACCCGTTGCATCACCAGGAAGGCCATCGAATAGATCTTAAAATGCTGTTTGTGGGTGATATTTTCCAGTTGGATGGAGAAACAATTAATCTAGGGCTCTTTTAGTAATCCGAAAGTTTCTGATTGTAACACCGATCATGGGTACCAACAGAAGGAACTGTATGGGGACCTTTCAGTTGGGGAGGGAATGAAGTTCCACTTTTGCCCATAAGAGGGCAGAAATGCATTACATTTAAGGCTTTGCCTTCTTCGCAGGATTCTGTGGCTTCCAGAGAACACCCCCACCAAATTAACAGCCTTCGCAGCCCTGGTCCCGGGTCTTTCTGAACTCGTCCTCAGGCAGCCTCCTCACCCCCACTGAGTCTGGTCCCACAGCCTGGTTTCGGAATTACCCACCCCAAACCACAGCACTGGCCTTCCCACATCTGGATGAGAAGGCTGTTGCAGAGTCCGCTGGCATCAGAGAGACAGCCGGACTGGTGGAGGCGCTGAAGTGGGGGTTGAAGTGCAGAGAGGGCTGACCCCTCAGAAAAAAATGGCTTTCCATTCGCCACCTTCTCCTGTCCTACAATCTAGCCTGTGTCTCAGCTGTCTCTCCTCTCCAGTGCTTAGACCCTTAGACTGGTTGGCTGCTTCACTAAAAATAGAATCTAAGCTCCTTTACATAACCACAAAAGGCCCTTCATGATCTCACCATGGGCCCCTTCTCTAAGCTCAGATCATGCCCCTATCGCCCCTCCCTCCGCCTCCCTGACCCCCCTCATGCTTTGGGGTCTCTGCTTTTCAGATTTTCAGATGGGCCCTCCCCCTTCCTGCTGTAATCATTGTCTCAGCATCACCCTTCAGTCCTGGGAGCTGTGTCCCCACCCACCTGCTCTGATCACCCACCTAGTGCATCCTGGCCCCTGCGGCACCCCTCCAGCACCCTATCCCATGGCAGGCATTCAGCTCAAGGGGCCATTGTCTCATGTGAGTCCTTGTTTCCTCTGGCAGCAGCACTGGGGGCTAGGTTATGGTCAGGACAGGACAGAGGTCTCAATTCAATCTAAGCCCTAGGTCACAGAGTTCTAGTGCCTGTTACTGTAATTCCAATGGACCCAAGCTAAGAAGTCACAGGATTATGAAGATTACAAAGGAGACCTGGGATCCACTGAGTGTCACAACTACATGGCTCTGCCACTGTCATGAAAAGCAGCCCCAGCCATATGTAAGCTAGTGAGCATAGCTGGTGCCAATAATACTTTATCTATAAAGATAGGCAGCGGGACGCAGTTTGCCACTTCTCCTTCAGATTATAGCGATAACACCACAAAAGCTGGTATGGCTGGGGAATTGGGTGTCATGTGGGTGGCAATGGAGACAGACAGCACTGTGAAGATTTTCTAGAGGGTTTGGAGGTCTAATCCCCTGGATTGGGTCAGGTGAAGAAAAGGGGGCTGCAGGTTGAGTTCCAAGCTTCTAGCTTGAACCTAGTCTTGAAGATACTATTTGCTGAGATGGGGAAGCTTACAGAGGGACAGGCTCAAGGCAGGAGTGGGGGTGCGTGGATGGGGGGACTGAGAAGTGAGTGTAGCACATTGTACATTTGAGTAATTGTTGAATTCTCCAAGATGTCAAGGGTGAGTTGTCTCTAAAAGCTAAATTAGCTGGGAAGTGGTCAAGGCTTAGAGTAGATTTTAGATCCTGCCAGGTAGCCAAAGTCACAGAAGAGTCTGTGGAGGGGTTCCATTTTGGGAGGGGTTCCACAAGATCTCTCCTTCTCCCATGTCCACATCATTCCACTTAGATCTTGTTTTTGTCTTGCTCTCGGTGCTTGTTCCTCAGCTCTGCCGCCTCATTTCCCTCCATAAATTCTGAGCTTCTTGGGAACACGCTGTCTTAAATTCTTCCTGTCACCACATTTCTAGTGTTGAGCACATAGTTGGTGTTCAAATGCTAGAGAATTCATCTCATAATCTATGTGATAGCCTTTTAAATATTTAAATATGGTGAGGGCAAGAGAGTGAAGGTGAATTTCATCCTACTCTAAATGAAAATGTCACCATAACTTGACTGGAAGCACATACATTGTAAATTAAGTTAACCTTTATGCAAAGATTGCAATGTTAGGAATGTTACAGGAGCCATTGGTAGTACTTGTTTCAGAAAGCCAGCATGTTTGAATAGTAGTCATTTCACTCTAGTAGTGCCACATGTTAAGGACACTGTTCAGATGTGAGCAGGGCATGTGTGCATATGTGTGCATGTGTGTGTATGTGTGCACCTGAACCGACAGAGAATATGCTCTATTTCCAAACCAGGCCGAGCCAGGCAGCTCATATTCTTGGTGGATTTGGGCTCTGCCTTCCCACTGGCATTCTGAGAAAAACTAACTTATCTCGCTCCTTTGTGGCCTATATTCTGGTCTCTGTTTATGAATTTCTTTCTCTTTTACTAAATCTCTCCTTTTTCTTTTTTCTTTTTTTAAGATTTATTTATTTATGCATACAAGAACTGGGGTATAGGACAGAGGTGCAGGGATTGAGAGGATTCACCAGAGACAGAGTGGGAGCAGACCAGGCAGATCCACTGAAATACATTGCTGAGGGGAGCAGCAGGCCAGACAGGAGAGGTCTGCTGTGCCATGTGGGTCAGCTCACGGCCGGGGATCAAACTCATTCTGCAGTGGCTGCCCATAGCTTCATAGAGCTGCTTTTTAACCTGTTGTGCCACGAGGAGGCCCCAACGATCTCCTTTTCCTTTTTTTTTTTTAATTTCAGTTTTGGGGAGATAGAGGGTGGGTCACCTTATGAGGACCTGCCATTTTGGGAGGAGTGCGAATTGACTTGCCTGTAATATCCTAGTGAGTCATTGATGCATTTTCTTACTTTTGTCCGCGTTGCCTCACCATGGGAAGAGTGATCTTATAAGCAGAGGTTAGCTCGTTCTTCAAGGCCTCCTGACCTTGCTTTCTCCTCATACTGCTTGCCTGGCTGGTATATACGCCATCTCGTTCTTCCTATTTTGCCTCTGGCCACCATTTTCTCTTCCCTTTGTTTTATCTCCCTTTAAAAAATCATAGAGCTTTCCTTTTCTGTTTCTAACAAACAGCTTCAGTGAAGATTAATCTACATGTCCTAAATCTCACCTATTTTTAAGTGTGCAAGTCAATGATTTTTTTTTTTTTAAAGATTTATTTATTTGTGCATACAGAACTGGGGTACAGACCAGAGGCTTAGGGGCGGTGAGAGGCTTCACCAGAGACAGAGTGGGGAACAGAACAGGCAGATGGATGAAGTACACTGCTGAGGGGAGCAGTGGGCGGGCCAGGAGAGGTCTGCCACACCATGTGGTCACCTCCTGGGCAGGCGGGAATCAAACTCATGCGGAGGCGGCTTTAGATTCTCAGTGCTGTGCTTCAACCCGCTGCGCCACCAGGGAGGGCCAGTCAATGATTTTTAGGCCAATTGTGAGCATCTATTCTCGTGCCATAGAAGATCACCTTTGTTTTCTTTTCCCCTCCCCAGCTGGGTGGCACCATCGGAGACATTGAAGGAATGCCATTTGTGGAAGCCTTCAGACAGTTCCAGTTTAAGGCAAAAAGACAGAATTTCTGTAATATCCACGTTAGCCTTGTTCCCCAGGTGAGCTTTCCAGATAAGTACGTAGACAGCACCTTCTCTACGCCTTCCTGTGGTATTATGCTTACTCCCCAGTTTCAGTGGGGGAGTCCTGCATTGCCTAGAAGTCGCCATGTCCAGCGTGCTGACGGTGACCCATTTCTTTCAGCCCAGTGCCACCGGAGAGCAAAAAACCAAACCCACACAGAACAGTGTCCGAGCGCTGAGGGGGTTAGGCTTGTCTCCTGATCTGGTGAGTTAAGGAGAGTGGGTAAGTTTCTTGGAACCAGGCTGCCATGTCTTCGTCGATAACATCACCTGTCTTTTCTGGCTCTTTAATGTTTCCTGTGACCACGAGCCTTGTGTAGGAGCTTAGTCCCCATCCTCAGCTGTTGCTCTGTCCTACTTCCGAATTGGCCATCTCTTCTCCTGGCCCTCATTTCATTGACCACACTAACAGCTGGGCAGGCGCAGTGTCTTGTCATATGCATGTTCCTAAGGCCTTTCGAATGGGGTGGGACCTTGCACATTGTGCTGTGACCTCTTAGGCTGTGGTGTCGTGTCATTGCTCTTATCTGTAGCAGGTAATCGAGGTGCCCCCATGGTCTAGACCAGGGGTCAGCAATGAGGGGCTGTGGCTTGCTGCGGCCTGTAAGTCAAGTTTGATGGGAATGCAGGACTGCCCCTTGTTTTTCTCTGTCTCCTGCTGCCGCAGCACCTCGATGTAGAGTTAAGTAGTCAGGATGGTGATGCATGATGGGTAAAACCCAACATAGTTACCACCTGACCCTTGAGAGAAAAAGTTGTCCGATCCCCGGGCCAGCTCTGTTCTTGCGGTTTTAAAGAATCTAAACTTGGGAGACCGCACTCATTGGAGACGCTTGGACACTTCCTGGTAGGTGTGAGTGGAGTTTAATAGCACATCAGCCAACCCGGTGTCTGTCACAGGCCCAGAATGAGAGAATATACTTGGGCAAGTGTCTTGTAGCAAAGAGAAATTAAAATAGCCTCCTCCCCGAAATGAAAGGGAGTGGAAACAGCCCGATTCCTGATCACTGACCTGTGTGTGACTGCCTTTGACAGATTGTCTGCCGAAGTTCAAAGCCCATCGAAATGGCTGTGAAGGAAAAGATTTCCATGTTCTGTCACGTCAACCCTGAACAGGTTAGTGCTGTTCTTAGTGTCTTGCAGGCACTTCTACTGACAACTTTGGTGCCTTTTAAATGATCCTGTCACTCCCTACCACATTTTTGATAAGCTTCCGGGGAACTCCTACCTAGCCCCACTCCTTTGCCCTCGAAAGAACACTCTGGAGTCTCCCGCTTCCTTGGGTAAATTGTGTGTGGTTCTGCTCCTCAAGCAATAGCTGCAATGGCAGCCTGCTCGCCATATCTTGTGTGTCTTTCAGAGCCCTTTCCCTGTGCATCCTCCTCTGTGTACCTTCCAGCTTGACTCACCCTGAACCTCACACTACGCTGCATTCACACGGCCAATTCTGATCACGTGCGTGAGCTCCGTTCACTGTGCGGCTGTGGAAACTCCACAGTGATGTGGACTCAGGTGTGAGAGGCGGTGTCCCCCTTTCCTTTCCTTCTCTTTGCTCTGTCTCTTGCCAGAAAGCTTGGGTGGAAGGGATCAGCGAGGCTATTGTTTAAAAAAGTGATATTGAATGGTGCTCAGACAAGGGCAGGGCTATTTTTCCAGTGAGCTCTGGGGTCCCTGAAGTCTACAAACCACCAACTAGGGTCCCCACCTCTCGGGGTGGGTTGCCCCTGCTGCAGGTCAGTGTGCTTGGCCGAGCTGCTTTGACAAATGTCATGGCAGGTTTCCCGCACTCTGTGATTTGTCAGTGGCCAAGTTGTTGTGGTTTTGCGTGACTGGTGTTTGTAGCTCTCCCATTGGTATTTTGTGTTTATTAAACAAACAAACAGGTCTCTGATGATGAGGAGGTTATGGCTTTTAGAGTTGGGTTGTGAGAATCCTGAGAACAGAAGCTTCATCCCAGTCCTCGGGCTAGTTATTAGCTGTTTTATTTATTTATTTATTTTAGTACATCTGTTTTTTCTCCTATGAGTTAATTTTCCCATTTCTTAGTTTCTGGTCAACTTGCATTTATAGTTGTCTTCTGGCTCGCTGAGGAAGAAAGGGAGAGAGAGCTGAGGTGTCTCTCAGAAGGGGTCTGAGTCCATGATGCCCACAGTAGCCTCTACCCCTGCTCCCAGGGTCAGCTGCCCCAGGGTGCAGCTCTGCACTGCGCAAGCGCTCAAGTCCACGGGGTTGGGGTGCGGGGGGTGTTTGCGGCTGTCCAGAGATTTCATTTTAATGGACAGCTGGGATGGAGCCTCGTGTCAGTGGCAACTTGGCACTGTGGATGGCACTGATGGAGGCACAGTGGGGCACTGTGGTCTTTAAGTATTTAGCTGGCGATGTCCAAACAGCTTAGGGACCCTTGATTGGATAACTATGGATTTGGAAAGACGGAACACGGAGCTGGCAGAGCTTTCTTGGCATTTCCTTAGGATGTGGCGGCTCCTTAAACGCCTGCCAGAAGTCCCTTGGATGTACTCTGAGGATGGTGACAGCTCATTAGGGAAAGTGTGAAAAACAACCACCCTACCTGGCATTTAAAGCAGCCGTTCTCCTCTAACTAACAGGTGTAATTAATTGGACTATGGTCAATGTGTGCTTGTAAATCTACCCAAATGAAGGGCACAGACAAAAGCAGCTACTACAGCAGCAACAACAAATGAACAAGCAAGCCGACCACTTAGCCAGCTGGAGGACATAGTGTGTGTGCTTAGGGCTGCTGCTTTAACCCAGACTTGGACAGTGCCCGGTACCATGGTCTGAGATGCTGATGTACAAAGCACCTGCCGTTCTAGCTGCCGTTCTGACACCAGCTGGGGGTCCTACCCTTCAGCTCTGACACTAACTACCCAGAGCGACACTGGACTCCACAGGTTGAAGGGCTGAGTCCTGGACAAGACTACCTGCCACTTCAGACACCAGTCAAACGTTTCGAGTGTCCCCAAGGCACCCACACTTATGTCTGGCTGACTACAAATTTGGGACTTCTCATAATCCCCTCAGGTTCCATACTTCTCTAAACGACTCACAGAACTCAGAGAAGCGCTGTACCATGGTCACTGCTCTATTGCAAACTGAACTGCACTGCTCTATTGCAAACTGAACTGCCAAAGACACACAGGCAAGATCTAAGAGGGTCTGGTATATGGGAGTGTTTGTCCCCATGAAGTCAAGTTTTGCTGCTCTCTGGTGCCTCTGCATATTCACCAACCCTCCTGGTCCCTTGAGTCACAGTATCCAGAGTTTAGATTGGGGTTTCATGACAGAGGCAGGATTGATTAAATCACTGGTCACGTGATTGAACTCAGTCTGCTGTCCCCTCCTCTTTCCAGAAGTCAGGTGACTGAATGTCCCAGCCCTCCAATGACTTGCTTAGATTTTCTGTTGCTCAGTTCCCAGTCTGAAGCCACCTAGGCTTCTGGTGTCCCTTCGTTGACATAACAAAGATATCCCTGCCACTCAGGAAACGCCAAGGTTTTTTGTGCCAGGAACTGGGAACAAAGACCAGTTATATATATATATTTTATATCCTACCACCACACCCATGGTTCTGGAGATAGAAAAATGAATTTGAAATGTTTGACCACTAGATCTTACTAAACTTGTGTTAATTTCAACTCTGCTTTAGCTTGTGGGGTGCTTGATTTTCTTCTCAGTCTGAATGGATTCCTGTCTCGAGTTGAGTTTTGGCTCATTCTTGAATTTATTCTCCCGGTGTATTTGAGCTGTTCTATTGAGATCTGGTGATTTTTCATCATCAATCAGGTGATATGTATCCATGATGTTTCTTCTACATACCGAGTGCCTGTACTTCTGGAGGAACAAGGCATTGTTAAATATTTTAAGGAGAGACTGGGTTTGCCCATCGGCGATTCTGCAAGTAATTTGCTTTTCAAATGGAGAAATATGGCTGACAGGTACGTGAATGGAACCAGTAATGGAATTTTTACTAATCCTTGAGTTTGGGGGTAGGACTGAGAGATACTTCAGAGGTACCTGTGTTACATTCGGCTCCCTGTATGTGTATGGATATATCTAAGGTTCTAACATATTGTTTGTTTGCTATATTCTTTCAAGATTTTGGGGGCCTTTAAGAGTTTACTCTACTTAATCCAGAAAGAATTGAAGGAGTTTGGATTCCGGAATGTTTAGTTCAAATTTTGGAAGGATTTGCTTTTTTTGTCTATTTCCTCATTTCTGAATTTTTGAAACAGACTTATATATCACAGGTTGTTTTTTCTTGATTTTGTTTTCCTTGTTTTTAAAATTTGACTAACAATTTCTTTTTTAAAAGATTTATCTATGCATACAAGAATTGGGATATAGGCCAGAGATATTGGGGGTGGGGGTGGTGAGAGAATTTACCAGAGACACAGTGGGGAGCAGAACAGGCAGACCTACTGAAACAACACTGCTGAAGAGAGCAGTGGCTCTGCTCTGAAGGAGAGGTCTGCTGTACCCTGTAGGTCACTTCCCTGTCTGGAGATCAAACTTGTGCTGCAGGGGCTGCAGATAGCTTCATAGTGCTGAGACTTAAACCCTTGCACCACCAGGGAGGGCCAATTTGGCTAACATTTTCTAAATGGTATCCATCTAGATGGGAAGCTTTGGCTATAACATTGTTCTTCCAGCCTGCAGGTCTTGGCTCTCAGCCATGTTACTAAAACCCCTGATGGGCTTTCGGTTTAGGACAACCTCACTTCAGCAAGGATGGTCTCTTTTGAAGTCATTGCAGATGAAGCCCCTGTTGTCTGCCTTCTCTCAGTCATTATAGAGTAGCTTCAAGTCCACAAAGTCCTGGACACCCAGTTTCTTTGCCACTTAGGCCGAGGTAGGAGGTTCAGGGGTCACGGATGTCAGCATGACACCACGCACCGTGGACTCAGCCCTCGGCACCCATGCTCCTAGCTGTATGAGTTTCGGAACATTGTTTACCACTCTGGGCTTGTTATCTTATCCATCTATAGCAGCACATTGCCGGTCTTTGGATTTAGGACCCATCCAAATCCAGGGTGATGTAATCTCGACATCCTTACACTTAATTACCTCCTCGGTGAAGGCCCTTTTTTCCAGATACGGTCATAGTCGTAGATTCTAGGGGACATATGTTTTGGGGGTCACCATTTAGCTCATTGCAGTCTTCAAGCAAAGGAGATATTGCGCATGAGCCCCTCTAACTCATGCTGACTGTCTTGTCGGCTCATTGGTCATTGCGGTATGAAGTGTCGTCCTTTGGCCCCTGTCCCCTCAAAGCAGCCTGTAGAGAGACACTAGGAAGCAAACAGGGGTCAAAGGGCAACCTTGATCATGGAGGTCCAGTGTGGCTCAGAGGCCAGGGGTACCTGGGTACCTGGCTTAACTTGGGTCTCACTTGGGACCCCAGGCCACAGTGTGGACAGCCCCACCTAGGCGGGGAATTGCCTGTGGAAGGTGGCCCCCACTGCCACCCGCCAGCAGCTCACAGCAGTGTTAGCAGCTTGCCTCTCGTTCTGTGGCAGTTGGTGACCTTGTGGACAGTGAGGCTGTTCTGGCCAGTGCCCCAGGGGCCTGGCCCGTGAGTCCCAGTGGGAAAACAGCACGAGGGAAGAGGGTTCAAGGTCCTACCTGGACATGTTCCTTCTGCCTGGTCATTGAAAACAGTGGACTCACCTGCCGCACCAGTGGAGTGGACTCCATCCTCTCCCTTCTGCAAGTACCATGCAGAGTCCTCCCTCAGCAGAGGATTGAGAACAGGGCCGAGGTCTGGCCAAGCTCTATGCTCAAATGTGCTTGTGACAGCCAGTTCCTGGGGCCGCACACTGGGGCCAAAGCACTGGCCTCCAGTGTGGGCTGGTTATGCCAACCTGCTTTGTTACGCTGTCCTTTATGCAGAGGTAGGGGGATGCATGGGCAGCCACGCGGTCTCCAGAGCCACATAAAATTAACGAGTACATTAGAGATGTAGCAGCCTTCTCTTCATGTGTTTCAGTCGCCATCCCCGTAAGTCACCTTTACTGGGTGACTTCTAAGCTCTTGTGCAGTTTTCTTCTTCCAGCGTGTTTGCATTCACGTTTCTGTTGTATTTTTGGCCGAATTTGAAATGAATGAGGACTATGCCTCATCACAATAATGTTCTTGTTCCAAGGTGTCTGGGAGGAGGTTTGCTTCAAAGCCTTATAAAACATCTTCAGCCCCAAGATGATATTTTACCTACTTAGCACCGGGCCTGGCATCGTTCATGTCCTTTGAACAGATGTCCTGACAAAAGCAACAGTAAAGATTGTGTCTCTAATGGTAAGATGTGATTGAGCATCTTACAAGAGTGGGATTTTCTCATAAAAATGATGTAAATGGCTTGTAGTATTTTAAATAGTTCTTCTAGCACCATTCTTTTGGCATGCTGTGAATACCCAGGTTTTTGTGGGCCTGCTGGGAATGTAGCCATTTTTAACGTAGACACTTGGGATGCGTTTTCTTACATAATGTCACCTTACAAAGTTAATACTGGAATGTTGCCTGTCAGAATGCATTGTCTTATGCATTGTCACCTTATAAATGAATTGAAGGACAACTCATGTTTACGAGATGTGGACAGAGTTTTTATTTCGAATGCTTCCTCCCCCTCCAGTTTCATTGAGCTATAATTGGTGTCCAACACCATGTAAGGTCAGGGAGTACAGCATAATGATTTGATTTATCATGACTAGATCGTGAAATGCTGAGCACCACAGTTAGCTTTCATCTTATCCTGTGGAGACGAAATAAAAGAAAGAAAAAGAAAAAACAATCCTCCATGTAGTATTTATAATGCTTTTAATTTTTTCTTTGATACACTTTTCTTGGATTTATATCCATGACTTTTTATGGAAGCCAGCATTGGACTTCACATTTTGAAATCTCCTGGCGTACAGATTTTAGATCTTTGGGGCTGCATGGGGACTTTGAGTCAGGCGCATCAAGTCTAGCCTCGTCTGGTCCACAGTCTTTGAAATAAGAATGCCTTGGAAAAAGAATGGTAGCGGTGTGGGCCTGCCCAGTGGTACAATGGGTTAGGACACAGCACTGCAACCTAGCCGCAGCCTTTTCAGTGCAAGTTTGATCCCCGCCCCAGAGGTGACCCACATAGCACAGCAGACCTCTCCTGTCTTGCTCGCTGCTCCCCTCAGCAGTGTACTTCGTCAATCTGCCTGTTCTGCTTCCTAGTTTGTCTCTGGTGAATCTTCTCATCACCCCTGCACCTCTGACCTGTACCCCAGTTCTGTATGCATAAATAAATAAATCTTAAAAAAAAAAAGAATGGTAGCTGTCATGTCACATATGTTAACTATGATTATGCTGTTATGGTCCATCCTATAACCATGATGCTTGTCTTCCTTCCCAGATACGAGAGGTTACAGAAAACCTGCTCCATAGCTCTGGTTGGCAAATACACTAAGCTCAGGGACTGCTATGCCTCGGTGTTCAAAGCCCTGGAACACTCAGCCTTGGCCATCAACCACAAGTTGAAGCTGATGGTGAGTCCTGGCCCAGACTTACAGATGTCCTCGCCTTTCATCGTGATACCACATGTGTTGGAGAGAGGCAGGTTGAAGGGTCTCCATGACCACCTCCAGAGGACTCACAAGAGTCAGCATAGCATTGCACTTATGGCTAAGACGTCTTGCAGCGAAAGGGTACAGTGCCAAGCCAGCGCCCATGTCAGAGTCTGGGGAAACCAGTGCAAGTCCCCAAGAGCCCTCCCCAGGGTGGGCAGCACAGCTTGCAACTGAGCCCCAGCAGTGAGTGGTGACAACACGTGTAAAGTGCTGTCTACAGAGGGCCTCATGAGAGGCTCAGTACCCGGGATTTTACTAGGGGCTGATCACGGAGGCACCCTCTACCTACTGAGTGCCAGCATTCCTGACACCCAGAAGGAAGCCGTGCGCTGAGCAGAGACCACGCTATGTCCACAGACACTTGAGGCACAGTCTGATGTCAGACAAGGGCCAGCTTTACATGCAAGCCTTTCTAAGCCAGCAGCCAGGCCTGCTATGTTAAGTTTTTCCCACGTACAGGTTTAAGGAACAATTTCTGATCCTAAGCTTAGCACGTGCTGGGAAATAGATACTTCCTGCTCATATAAGAGCATGGCATTTACTGACCAAGATGATCAAATTTTTTTTCTTCTCTAGCATTGGAATCAAATCTAAATTTTTAAAAAAGGTTTATTTATTTGTGCATAGAAAAACTGGGGTGTAGGCCAGAGGTGCAGGAGTGAGAGGATTCACTAGAGACACAGTGGGGAGCAGCACAGGCAGATTGACTGAGATACACTGCTGAGGGGAGCAGCGGGGAGACAGGAGAGGTCTGCTGTGCCCTGTGGGTCACTTCCTGGCTGCGGTGGAACTCAGGCCACAGTGGTGATAGCTTGATAGAGCTGAGACTTGACCCCTGTACCACCAGGGAGGCCCCAACAAGCTTCTATAATGCCTTTACAATTGTGTATCTTATGATATATTTAGATAGAAAGTATACCTATCTAGTTTATGCAAGAGAAAAACTAAGTATATATATATACACACACACACATACTTAGTATATATATATATATATATATATATATATATATATATATATATTTAGTGTGTATATATATATACACTATATATATAAAGTATATATATATATATATATATATATATATATATGGGGACAATATATACAGGATTATATATGGTTTTCATTTAACAGAATTCATTGACCTTAGCTTTTACTAAGTACCATTTGAAATATGGTCATATATTCCTTTTAAGATCAGTTTTCTCTGTGCTTATCTCGCCTGGCTTCTTCCAGCTGGCTTTCTGTCTCCAATTTCCACATTGTACTAGAATGGTTTTTCTAAAATCACTCTCTCTTCCTTAAGACCTTTGTATGCTTCAAGTATAAACTTCTCTTGTGGGGTGGAGTCTACTGTTAGGATGCCAGAGTGGCCCCCACTTCCTTGCTTTCCTCTGAGATTCTTAAAGCTCTTCCTTCGCCTTTCCGCCTCCCTCTACCTCCCTCACACTGCCCACCTCCCTCCTTAGGTACGCATACTGCTCATCTTCCATTGGTCCTCAGGGCTTGGCGTTCTCCAGCTTTCTACCCTGATGTCGCTCCTTGGTTTCCTGCCTCCAGCGTCTAGGCCTAGAGTAGCAGGTGCCTCCTGGTTCCTTCCTCAGTGTTGCCTTCTGTGCCATTCCTGCCATCACACTCTAGCACGATACTTGTCTGTCTCTCCTCATCTTCCTGAAAGCTTTATTATGAGCTCCCCAAGGCAGAGATCATGCTTTTTGAACACCATGTTCGGTATAGTGTTAAGTCGTTACTGAATAATTGTGTCATGGTGTGCGATGGCTCTAGCCTTTTTGAATATTTATTTTTCTTTAATGTTCTCTTAATCTGTTGGATTTTTAAAAATTGAGGTAACATTAATTTACAACACTGTATATGTTCCGGGTGTAGAGCTTCTCACCTCAGCAACTCTATATTGGTCCCCACAACCACTACCTTATGTCAGTCACTGGCCACCATCTGTCTCTGCCCATCCCTCCCACCTTCCTTCTGGTAACCACCCCTTTTTTTGGCACAGTCTACAGGTTGTTTTTTGTTGCTGTTCCTTTGTCTTTTTTCCCCTTTGTACTTCATACGTGAGTGAAATCCTGTTTATCTTTCTTCTTCTGACTTACTTCCCTTAGCATAACCACCCATTTTGTCACAAGTGGCAGGGTTTCATCTTTTTTATGACTGTGTAATATACCATCACAGGCATATACCACAACTTCTTTGTGTTTGATGTTTTTTAGTACATAGACTCCATTGATCTGGAGCAGACCACCAAATCTGAGGACCCTGTGAGATTCCACGAAGCTTGGCAGAAGCTCTGCAAGGCTGAGTGAGTACTGGGGAGCATCCCTACCAGTTGAGGGGAATGCCCGTTGTGTTTCTCTCAGGATGGTTTGATTAATCCAGTTACTCAATTTTGTGCATTTTGAGAAGGAGTTTGGAGTACTTGTTCTTATACCTTATTCACACTGGATTTTTAAAAAATTTTATTATTATTTAAAAAAATGACATAATAGGGTTTTTTTTTTGTTTTTTTTTTTTTTCCATCATTTTGTGCCTTTTTCCATCTCAGTTGTAATCCCCATTGGCTTCCCACCACCAAATCACCCGTGTACCCACGCTGGATTTTTTGAAAGGTGCTATGTTAATTTTTGTAGTGTGTGAAGTTTGAAATGTTTTGATTTGGGGGAGCCTGAGGACATTATATTGGTGAGAAAGTGGGTTGATCCTACTGAAAGATGCAGAGATGGATCGTACATATACAAAATTAAATATATGAACCATTTTCGTAGTTATATTTTCTCTTCCATGTTATTTGATTCTGGGCTTTATTTTGTAAATAATCAGCAGCACTGTATTGTGAGGCTAGCATAAGTCTCATGGCTTTTCTCTTAAACGTTTGTCTTTTCAAATGAGAGTGTTTGTCTAGAAGGTCTCTATAGTGTCCTCCAGCCAGGACATTTTTGCACCACTCATAATCAGAAACTGAAATCTTAGGCTGATTCTTACCAGTTTAACTCTTTCTGATTATAAGAGACATCTTAATATTTTTATGATAGTGCTCTTAAAAGAAACTTTACTACTTTTATTCAGCTTATTCCCCCAGTGGCATTTTGAATTGAGTCGTGTTTCTCAACCATCAAGTTCACAAATCCCAACCATCTATCAGAAAATATAGATTGAGGTCAGTTGTAAGAAATTGTCATAATTTCTTCATTACCTTGGGATAATTTCAAAAAGAAAGTTCTAGATGTGAAATCATGTAATCAATTCTGAAAATCAACCTCACACATATTCCCTAGCAATTGTACCAAGGCTTGGATTTGGGATCATTAAGCTTGAATGGCTGAAAGTTTTCAAAATAAAAATCATGTCAAATTCAATCTCATTTTGTGTCGGTTGCAGTGGTATCCTTGTGCCAGGAGGCTTCGGGATCAGAGGAACGTTGGGAAAACTACAGGCGATTTCTTGGGCAAGGTCAAAGAAGATTCCTTTTCTGGGTAAAGCTCATGTTTATGGATCCTAACTATGAGTGAATTGGATTTTTGACACCTAGTAGGGTGACATTTAATAGGGTTTGTTAATAAGACAGGTGTGAACTCAGAGTTGAATATCCAGGTGCCGAGTAGTCTCTGACAGGGGTGAACACACTATATCCTGCAGACAAGACTTAGCTTTAGGTCTGCTTTTATAAATAAAGTTTTATTGGAACACCACCACACCGATTTGTTGACATATTTTCTATGGCAGCTTTTGTGATACAATGGAAGAATTTGATTCTACTGTCTGTATAGCCTAAGGTCTTTACTATTCAGTCCTTTATAGAAAAAGTTGGCCAACTTAGGATAGGTTGCCACTCTTCCAGTTGGCTGGCAAGAGGCTGGGGGGAGTCGCTGCCCACAACTGCCCTTACCTTCTCCAATTACCACCTTGATTTGTCTTCTTCTCACAAGAACCATTCAGCAGAGGTCCATAACGTTCTTTCCAATTAGATACAAAATAACTTAAGTTGAAATTTCTCTGCTCATTCTAGAAACGGTAGTAGAGAAAGGCCATCCAACATCACCGAAAGAGCTCTGTTCAAATTTGGTAGAGTTTAGTTTTTTGAATGCTTTTGTTCAAATGCCACAGCCTGGCTTCTATACCTGTGAAGCCGGATGAAACTGGATGTTGTTGAAACCAATGGCGCTGAAATTGGGGGTTCAGGCAGAAGAGGGGGTGGGGAGAGGCTGGGTTCCACGTGGTCCACGGGGATGTTTCTGGGTTAACCAACTGTATGGACAGGCTTTGTGGTCTTGTACTGCCAGGATACTGACTTCCCTTTCTCTACTGCCTGTTTTTGATTTGAAAGCCACTGATTAGTTTTCTAGAAGCTCTCTACTTGGGATCTGTTTTCAAAAGAGAAGCCAAGAATATTTACCCTGACATTTTGCTTTGTTTTCCCATCATCGTTGTTTTCTTTGGAAGTATCTTGTTCGGCTTTATTCTAAACATGGGTAGTGTTCTTCAGCCAACTGACACAGGCTACTCGTAGCCCTTCACTTTCTGTTTAACAGTCTCTTTTTTGTCCTAGCCTTATGGAACTTTGTGAAGTCTCCCCAAAGTGTTTAGCTGTTTCATGCCTATTGACTTTTGTTCTGGCATGGCTGCTCTATTGATTGGCTTGCTTTTGAGTCTCTTGGATGTCTTGGATATGTCTGTTAAGCACCTGGAATGCTCTGTGGCATTTGTTTAGTGGAGAGAATCGGGGGGGCTACAGTGATCACGGGGATGGCCAAAGGGTGCATTTCTGTGACAGGTGGCTAGGGGCTCTCTGAGTATTTTCCTTACTGAGTTCTCTGTTCACCACCATTTTGGGTCTCCTGTTCCTGTCTGCCCCGTGCCCGTGTCCACAGTGGAGGCACCCACTTTCCCCACCTGCTGCAGCCTGGCACAGACCTGTGGCCCCTTTACCCGGCTGCAGTTGTTCCTGAGATGCACCCCTAACCCCGCTGCCCTTAGGCTAGGCCTGTATTTAAGGCTGTGAAATGACCTGGAGGTTGGGAGTCTCAGCCCACAGAGACTCCCTCTTACGGTAGGGGAGGGTGTTCTCCATATTTTCTAAAGGAGTCAGGTTGTGGTGGCAGAGAGGACTTTTACCCGACCCTTTTGGGATTTTCTCTGTTTGCCCTAATAACTAAATAAGCATAAGACAGATTTCCGGGGTGGGGGGGACCAAATTTAATTTAGTTTGTTTTTATTGAGACTGCAGGGCTTCAGTTGAGTCCCGCTTGAAATAATCCACATGCCAAAGTGCTCTGCTCTGAGTAATCGGGGATGGGGGCTGTCCTGTCCACCCTCAGGGTGCCCTGGGCTAGGCCATGCATGCCCTGACTTAGGGACACGTTTGGAAGAAGGCAGATGAGTCTTTCGGGCCTTTCCCTGTGCTCTGTCCTCTTCTGATGGCTTATTCTTCCTTCCTGGACTTGGGTCCTCTCTCCTCCTTGGCAGCCTCTGCAGGATCCTTCTGAGCGCAGAGGGTGCAGCAGGGGCCAGGTAGGCAGGGTCCCCCACCCGCAGCCTGCATTCTAGAGGGAGGAGACAGCCGCCACAAGGACAGGCGATGTGCAATGAGCCAGTGTGTTCATTTGCTCTCTCTGTGCTTTCTAAAACAGGAGTTTGCCTTGGGATGCAGCTAGCAGTGATCGAGTTTGCGAGAAACTGCCTTGACTTGAAAGGTATGTCCGGGATTTACTAGTAACCTTTTATTTAAAAAAATTCTCATGACTGCAAAGATTTTCCAGTCATAGTAGTGAATTACTGAACACATCTCTTAATCTTTAGATGCTGATTCCACGGAATTTGAGCCAAATGCCCGTGTTCCTGTGGTGAGTAGCTTGTGTATCTTTCTGGGTGGGACCGTTGTCATTTCATTTCTGGCTTTTGCCTAAACTCATAAGGGGCTCTGGCTTCTTTTTTTCTTACAATATTAGGACATGTTAAATTAGATATGAATTTAGTCTTCTTATTTCTCATTATTATTTTTTTTTTATGGTAAGCCACTTGGTTCTTAAGATCCCACCTTGTCATTCTGTGCCTTAAAGAAAGACACAACCCTGGACTGATTTCTCTTTGCAGCTCTTTTAAGCTTAATGTTTAGGAAAGGATTAAATTGACTGTGACAACAATTTATAACAGCTAATATAAATAAATGGGCTGTCCTGTCTCTAGACGCGTTCCCCGTCTGTCTGGTTTCCACTTTGGCGGTCATCTGTCTTTCGAAACAAAAGTGACAACCATTCTGCTGCTCCCCATCTTCCACTGACTCCTCCTATAAAATATTCAGTCCAAGCTTTTTGGCAAAGTCCTCTGTGCTGTCCCCTGTTGTGTGGCTAATTCAAACTGTGGTGGCCTCTCTGTCCCTCACATTGCTTCCCCCTCCCTGAAATCTCATTAAAACCACTGAAAATTTTAATTGAAAAAGCAAAACCAGACCTGATGACTGGCAACTTCCTGTTCATCCTGGGAAGCCTCTCCTGACCACCTTCCTTACCTTTAATCTGTCTTCTGTGTCCCGCGCCTGCCTCTAACAGTGTCCACACCAAACCACTGTGATGTGCTGGCTTTTTCAACAGCTTTACTGAGCTACATTCACACACCATAAAATGTAGCCATTGAAAATGATAACCTTTTAGCATATTCACAGTTTGTGCCACCATCACCATAGTCAATTTTGGAGCTTTGTCATTAGTGCAAGAAAGAAACCCTATGTCCTTGGCTGACACCCCCAAGCTTCCTATCCAGTGGCCCTACGAGACCATTCATTTGCTTTCTCTGTCAATTGCCTATTCCAGATGTCTCGTGAAAATAGAATCATACAATACGTAGCTTTGGTCACAAGACTTTTTTCACATAGTATCCTGTTGTCATGATCTATGTTGTAGTATCTGTCAGTACTTTGTTTCTTTTCAATGCTGAGTAATATTCCACTGCATGGACATTCCATCAGCTCATGTACATTTGGGTTGTTCCTGTTTGGACTATACATAATAGTCAAAATATTATGAATAATTATTTGATGAATGTTCTTGTACAACTTTTTGGGTGGACATCTTTTCTTTTGGGGGGGGGTTTGGACATAATTTTCATTTCACTTAGGTAGATACCAAGGAGTGGATGTGGGTCATGTGGTGACTGTGTTGAACCCTTTGAGGAACTGCCTGACTGTTCTCCTAAGTAGCAGCAACATTTTACATTTCCATCAATAGTGTAGGAGGGTTCCAATTTCTCCGCATCATCAACAATCATTATCTTTTTGATGGTGGCTATCCTAGTGGTGTGTATCTTCTTTGGAGAAATATCTATTCAGATCCTTTGCTTATTTTTAAATAGGGGTATTTTTCTTTTTATTATTAAGTTGTAAGAGTGTCCATGTATTCTAGACCCCAGTTCCTCATAAGGTAGGTGATGTGTACTTTTGACATCTTGGCCAAGCTCATTCTTTGTTGTAGGGCAATCCCATGCCCTGTAAGATATTTACTAGCTTGCTTGACCTTGACCCACTAGACTTCAATAGTCTTCCTCTTAACCTGCAAGGATGACACTAATATTACCTCCAGAATTTGTCAAACATCCCCTGGGAACCCAGAAACAGTAGCCCTCAGGGAGAACCCCTAATTTAGAGAAATCTAGTTCTATTCCTACCCCCTTCCATTATGATATTCATTCATTTTTTTATGGGTTATCTTTTGATTGAAACAATAGAAGAAAGGCAGTATGTCTTCTAATAACCCCCACTCCTTCTTAGAGAACTGTGACACTTATGTTCTGCCTTGCCTGTTTCACTTAGCACTCTATGGGGTGTACATCACTCCATGGAAGAATATAGAGATATTCTTGACTCCATTTTATAGCTCGCAATTCAGACCATAATGAACCATAACTTCCCAGCCAGATGGCCCTGTTAAATCGTATGCTCAGAAGACCCAATACTGGTGAAGAGTTCCTTATGAGGTTTTAATAGGAACATATTTCCTGATTAATGGCTGACATGGCTGTGTAGGCAAACCATGGGTTCTCTTTCCTAAGAAAACACTTGGGCTTAGAGGTGACTTCACCAGCAGGTGCCACTGTTACATAGCTTTGACAAGGTTCATTCTTCCATGACTAATCTTTACTGTGTGTGTGTTAAAAAAAAATTATATACAGAGTAAGAAAGCCCTATAGAGAGCTGTGAAACTATCTGTCATCCACCCCTACCTCATTTCAGTTCCCTTCCCCAGAGCCTTTTCCCATTTCTTTTGTGATGCTGTGGAAGATTGTGTGTGTGTGTCCACCTATCAGGACACACACACACATACACATACACTCGCACGGACGTGTCCTCTTTTAATTAATCCATGCGCTGGCTTGCTTGCCACACCTCCCCCTGCTTTTTCTACAGATCATTTCACATCAACTCAAGGGGTTGTTCCACAGCTCGCTCTGCTCTCTGCATCATTCTTTGCTTAACCAGCCTCATTGATGAATCTTTAGGTTGTGTCCATTATTATACTACCTTAAATCATGCTGCAAATTAGTATTTGTGTACATATGTCTTTGTATCCATACACACTTCAGGGCTGGATTCCTGGAAGAAGGGGTCGCTGAGTCAGAGTACATGATAGCTTTTGTGCTCTTAAGTGAAAGAGAACAATAAAACCTCATTGCTACTGAACATCTTTATGACCTGCAATCAGTTTATTGTAGAAAAATAGCCTTAAAAGCCAGCATTGGTGACGGTGGTGAGAAGTCTTATTAAAGAAAAAAAACTAAGGTAATAGAATCAGAAGGCAACAAACACCAGGAAGCCTGGGAATTCACTTAAACCTGAGCAAAATATCTATGACATACAGTGGGTAATGGGCGTTCTGACCTTTCTAGCTAAAACAGTAAACAATTTGGAAAACAGGAGCCTCCTTTAGGGTATATTTGCTACTAAAATCTGTTTTGTGTGGGGGTTCGGAAAAATCACTTTTCCGCCCCCTTCCAAGTTCCTGACTGAGACCACAGCAGGAGAAAAGTGGGCAGAAGTTTAATAGCATGTACACCTCCTGTCTACCTGAAGAGACCGAGGAACCTGAGCTAGCTCCCGGAATTTCGCAAGTCCTCATCTTAAGGACTGTTTTCAGCTAGACACAAAAGGAGCTGGAGGAATGTCAGGTAGGGCGGTTCTGCGGGAGAGACCCCAACCAAGACCTATTTGTTATGCAAATTTAAGTGGCTGCCTTCTCCGGTGTTGAAGAGTTAGCCCTCTTTGGGGTCTGAGAGGGAGATGCCTTTACAAACGGCGATATCCCTCATCAATGTAAATGTTCTTCACAATACAGGAAATTTTGCTCAGAGTTTCGGGTTTCTCTTAATAAATCTGCAGTTTATTAAAAATAATCAGTTCAAGATAATCCTTCTGCCACAAAGGCTTATTCTTTTCATGGGCCTTGGGACCATCCCTTGTCAGGCACTATTAACACCATGGTGGTTTACGAGATCACTAGAGACGCTGGGGTGTCTGATCACATGCACGAGAAAGATGTTTCTCTAAGAGTGAAGGTAGTGTCTTTGTCTCTGTACGAGAGTGAGTAAAATCGATTTTATTGTGTCATTTTGTCAGTGTGCCGACAGGGGAACACCCGAACTTGGGTGTTCTACCGGAGCCTGGCCATCCGTGCTCATAAAGACTACAAAGCATATATAATCTAGAAGAACGTTAATAGGATTATTGTGCCGAGAGAAGAGAGCATATTAGTTTTCCAGTCAAACACCCAAAGTATCCATCCTCTCGTGGGTAAATGCCCAGGCAGATAGGGGAGGCAGGGCTGCCAAGGCCTGAAAGCGTGCCAAAGACTAAGGACCCTTTGGGTGAGAATGCACAAGGAGGGGGCAAAGAGGCCAGGCAAGTCCGGGAGGAAAGGAACAAAATGAAAATACAAAGCAAGATAATGGCCACTGTTGTCAGCGGCCAGTGAAATTAGGACAAAGGTTCTCTTAGCCTCGAGAGCCTTCACTGTCCTTAGCTTAAAATACTGTGAATTCCTTAAGTAACAGTAAGGCCTTGATTGACCTTTAACTCCCCAAATCAAGGTGACACACAATAGAAGAAGTCAACTCTGGGCACTTTGAGAAAAGCCCACTGGTCCTTGGGGGACACTGATCCCATGATGAAATAGAAGGATCTAGGACTTTGCAGAATAATTAGGGTTCTAAGACTAGTCTAATTTTGGGGTCTGCTTCAAGGTAATGATGTCAGTTTTGGAGTTAGTGGGTTTGGAGTGAGGGGGTTCTTGGGTTCACTCTGGGAGAGGTTTCCCCAGAGCTCCCCTTTCAGTAGCACGTGGTAAGTTCCCAGGCAAGTTTCTCCACGAGACAGATGTTAGTTATATTTAAAGAGCAGGTTTACTAGGGAAAGGGGCAGAGGAGTATAGGCACAAGCGGGAGGAAAGAGCTGCCCCAAAAGGGACAGGTTTGCTGAGAGAGGCCTGCGTGGCTGTAGGCAGGTGGGCAGCCTTGAGGACAGCGGCCTCCGCTGAGGGGG